TGTCAGCCAACGACTCATATTGAATATAGGTTTGATTCAATGGTCACAACTTCATTTCGTGTTTAAATTCTTATTTTTTTTATACAAATTCAAATCATTTGATACTTTGAGTGTCTATTATTAAAAAAATAGAAGAATTTAATAAAAAATAATTCGTAAAATATATATTGGTCAAAATATCATTGAAAAGTTTTTGGAATATTTTGGTAAATTTATATTTTGTGAATTATTTTTTTAATATTTAATTAGGTGCATCTTGATGAGAAAAATGAATATTTAAAATTTTAAGTGATTTGGATTTGTATAAAAAAAAAAAAAAATTCAAATACGAAATGAGGTTGTGGCAGTTAGATTGGCCCATATTGAACTTGGGCCGCATCAATATCAGTCGCTTGTTGACATTGTAGCTGTCAGCCCGTGGGCGGATAAAATACATTCTTTATATATATATATATTTTGTTGGTGGTATAAGACCAATGGGTTAGAAATACAATCTTTTAAAATTTTTTCATTGTATTAAAACTCAAGAGTTTAAATGCATGAATATCTCAATACAAAACCATGATACATATATGAATGATAAAATTCAACCCTAGTAAGGTCACTTACAAATCCCTTACTGAAAATACAATTAAACTCAATACAATATCCAAATACCACAATGTACATCTCTACAATATATTCTATAACTTGCATTCGCAATTTCTTATTATATAAAAATTATATGATAATTTCATCTTTATTCTTTATTTTCATCATATATCACAATGTCTCATATACATCATACATTTGTTCATAATAATCCAATGAGATTTTAATTCATATAAACAATAAAACATAGCATTAAAACTCATACCGTAATATTAAAGAACAATATCAATATTCAATTTAATCAATCATGAATCATTTAAGAACTGTAAATACATCAAATTAACATGCAAACACATATAGGGGAAGCTATAGTTCGAACCGCTTGTGCCCAGGTCATGAAAGAGCCTTTTGAAAACTTAGTTATGTCTTATTGTCTAAGGCATGAGTGATAATAATAATTCAAAGAGATCATTCTAATGGGAAGCAAATGATCACTTTTAATTCACTTAATAGAAATAAAATCATGAGATAAACATATATCAAAACAACCCTTTAAAATTTGAGAGAGATACTATACAAAATAAAGTAGTTGTGAAACTACACCATGTGACCCATCAGAGACTACAAAACTTTTCAACATTAAAAAGAAAACTCAAGGAACTATTTCATATGCTCAAATATAATAAAATAAACCTCTCATCAGTTCTATATTTCAATAAAAATTATAGAAAAATAAGATAAGAAAAATTAAGGTGACACTACTCAAGATCATAGAGTAAGCAAGCTAGTCTACACATACTATGTGTACGGATTATACTATTGCTTTGAAACTTTTCAAATGTCAAGTTTCATGATTGAAAGATGTAAAAAACTACTGTAAATTAAAAATTACAATAAGCTTTAATAATAGAAATGAGGTAAGAAATAAAATATCTTGGAGAAAAATCAATATCTTGGTGAAAAATCAATAATTTGGAGAAATGAGGTAAGAAATAAAATATCTTGGAGAAAAATCAATATATTGGTGAAACAATATTATGGGTTTGATCTCACATATGAAGGACTATTCCATCAAAAGGTTTCAACTCAAGGCTTAAAAAATGGAGAATACAAGAATGAGGGTGTTGATCTCAAGAGGGCTGTGGTAGCCGCATTGTTGTTGAAGGAGCTCTTTTTCTTTGAAGTGAAATTTAAAATTAGGGTTATTTATCCCATAAGTTACTTTTATACTTAGATCGTAAATGTGGATTTGATCTTGATCCTTGATGCCTTATTTCAATGACTCATGAGAGACTTTTATCGAAATCACTCATCCATATCTTATCACCAAGATCAATGGATGAGCTTTTGAAACGCTTCACTTCTTAAAACTTAGGTTTATAATCATTTTACTTTAAATCCCTTTGCTCAATGTTTTATTTCTGAATTAGTCCAAATTCATGTTTACACTTATGCCCATGATTTTTCAATAATTTGTGAGAGTCAATTAAAGACAAGGATACTGACATAAAGGTAATATGAGATATCTACACATATAAATAAAATATCTTATGATACCACCAATAGGATTTCAAGAACATTAAAGTTCTACATGGGCCAAGCCCATAAGGTCGTACCACATAAGATATACCCATGTACCACAATATCATATGTAGATAATAGTATAAATCAAATTAATTTTCAAAATCCCATGACTTCACAAATGCCAAAAATGGCACATGTGAGAAAAAAGAAAGACCTCGCCCTTGCTTCTTGGCTTTCGAGCTTATGCTTGTTAGCTTTTTGCTCTTGCTTTGCCAATGGTAGCAACGAGCTTTGCCCGTGGTAGCAAGCTCTAACTATTGGCTGGGCTTTTTGCTTTGATGTCAAGCAAAGTACTATCAAACTTGTGTTTTGCAAAAGCAAAAAGCCCTCAACAACGAGTGCTTCGTGACTTAAATCAAACATAAGTCATTATAGTATATAATACTTTAAATAACAAGATAACATGTTATGAGACAATACCACAAAAAGAATTAATGACAAATAGGTCCCCACGTGGATATGACATCAGCATGATGTCATCCATGAGTGGGGAGTTAGGGGTGCCACGTGGAATTCCTTTGGCCACTAGGGATCCATATGACATCCCCATAGGATGTTATTGTTTGGAATTTACGTCAAACAAATTTGAAAATCACATTTTTATTATTTAAAATTTCAAAACAATTCTTCAAAAAACCCAAAAAATTCTCCAAATGATTTTACAATATTATTACAAAATTTATCATCAATATAAAATATTTTTTCCTCAATTTTAGATTAATTTGAGCCAAAAGTAAATGAGATCTCTAAACTTATAACATTAATCGAAATCTTCCATTGGGCTAAGCCTGAAGGACATTCCATCGGTGTCTCAAGCCGACCCAACATACCTATGCTCTTCATTATTTGATAATGGCACATAATTGGTCACGTCAAAATCGCTGAGCTAGAGCTTCATGTCACCGGTGATTTAATGGATTACTGGTGCATGCATGTGGGACATGTTGTTAACTCTAATACAGGGGTTCTCTCAAAGCACATGTGCACTAGCTCTTTTAAGTCGAATGGTCTCATGTCAGGATACAGACTCATGTCTCACGAGCCGACCATTTCATACAAGGTTAATACTCTTTTAAATACGTAGGTTCTATTATACTCAATTGGATTTTTCAAGCCCTGGCTCATCACATTAACTATAAAGCATTTTAAACAATATAGTCATGACTTAGAGGTGACCCTCACACCTCTCCGAGAGATCACTCTCTCAAAACGCAAGCTCTCTATGCTCTATAAAACTCGGGGTATATGAATTTGGGCCCAATACGCCCAACACCAATATTCAGTCTCTCTCTAACTCCCACCGAGCGAAAAACTCTTGGTTTTAAAGCCTTGAAATGCCACATAGTATATAT